CAAATAATTCATCTTCACGTGGCCTTCCCTTTAATTGCCATGTAATTATACCCATGAATTCATGCCATCTTTTCCTCATGCACACACACATCACCTTCCATGAATTCCACCAACTAAGGAATTAGCCCATGCCACTTTAAGTAATTAATCACCCAATAAGCCATGCAACCCAATAATGAGCCCGCCAATAATTGTACCACGAGCAGCAGCTATCCCATTGTGACCCGTCTTGGTCCATTAAAAATGCTCCCAATTGATCCTTAAATCGTTGAACTCGAATCTTTATTTTTGGACCACGGGAATTGATTATCGTGCTAGTCGATATCGCATCATTCCCTCTCTCTTGAAGAAGATTCGACCTCGAATCTTTGTAGAATCTTGATTGCTCATCACCTCCATTCTCCTTGGTCTTCGAACATAATTGTCTTGATAGCGAGGATCGTATTATTCTCCCTCTCTTAAGAGCAATTCGTCCACGAATTATAGAGACACCATTGTGATGAAAATCCTCCACATAGCGTTGAATTTCTTGTTGATTCTCCCGGCGAGCTGCCTCTTCTAACATTGCATCACCAATCACAAAATCAATATGAGAAACTTCGAGAACTATTGGTGAATGCTCCATAATTTTCAAGCATTCATCTCCGCCCTTGAATTCTGATTCCTTCATGTATTGTTTAACTTCTTGCGCACTCAAATCTAGAATATCAACAAGAATTTCATCTTTCACCTCTTCTGCCTCTTCTTCTTCAAGTTTTGGTTCTTCTCGAGAAGAAATCAAAGCTTGTGAATCCTCTTCACAAGTGACTATAGTAAGTCCATCAACAAGAACCTCTTCTTTCTCTTCCACGTCTTCTTTGACTTCCTCTTCGACTTTGGCTTGACACTCTTTCTCTTTCTTCAAATTCTGTTGCATTTGAAGTTGATCCTCATAGATTTCTTTGGGAGATAAAGGCTTCAATAAGAACTTCTTACCTCTATGCGACCACTTGTACTTCTTGTGACTTCATCTTGTTGTCCATTTCGATCAAACTGCCATGGTCTTCCAAGCAAAACATGAGCCTCTTCCATTGGCACCACATCACAAAGGATTTCATCTTTATATCTTCCAATCTCAAACTTCAATATGGCTTGCTTGGTGACTTGAATTGATCCATCTTCATTAAGCCATTGAAGAGTGTAGGGTTTTGGATGTTGCGATGTGTTTAACCCCAATTTCTTCACTGAATATTCACTCATCAAATTAGTGCAACCCTCTCCATCAATCAAAACCGATAGTAGCTTACCATCCACTAAGCATCTCGTTTGAAATTTATTCTCCCTTTGCTCGAGATCTTGCTTTGGATTTGGACTCCCTATCGTCAAATGAGCTTCAGGTTGGATTATTGTTGCTAGCGCATTATTCCCCTTTAACCCTTGAAGAATAACTTCCGTCGTCTTGAGCATTTGCTTCATCATCTCCGTGAATCGTTGATTTTGCTCCATTGTTGCCTTTCAATAGCTAACAAAAACAAAAAAACAATTTTTGTTTTCTTCCCACACGTACAACTTTGTGGCTGTAAGACAATTTTTTTTGTTTTTTTTTTCCACATGAACAGTACACGAAAATTAAAAAAAAAACACAACTCTTTTTTTGTTCTCACGTGAAAGTAAATAAATAAATAACCCTCTCTTTTTTTTACCAACTCACGTAAACTAATGAAAAAGAAAACAACTTTTTTTCTCTCTTTTTTGTTGTACAAAACAAAGGAAACGAAAATCAAAATAGTTTTTTTTTCTAGCAACTAATGATAAAAATACCTTCAAAAAATCTTCTTTTCTCCACTGTGTTTGAAGCAGTGATTTTCAATCGCCGCTGAGTTTGAACCGGGCTCTGATACCACTTGATATGATCCAAATCCGAAGAGAACCCTCGAACTTCGGATGATATGACCAAAGTACGCAGCTTCAACGCCTTTTTATGGTTTTCTGGTGTAGCCTTTCTTGAACTCGAAAATAAAAAGATAGGATGGAATCAATCGGACAATTCCTAACTTGTGATGAAGGGCAATTGGTATATTAAACCAATCGGACAACACCAACTCGTGGAAAGGGGCAATTGATATAGAGTAGATGCTTGCCACAACTAGACGCGTTCTCTAGTTGATAAGAGACACGTACAATCTCCTAGAATCCTCGACAGAAGTCTTGCACAAACGTTCACAAAGGAACACGAGTAAAAACTCTTAATTGATAACTTGAATGTTGGGTACCAAATTCATAGGTCTTACACCTCTATTTATAGAGGTCTCAAAAACATAAAACTAACCTAAAAGGAATAGGAAAACAAATCCCAAACTAACTAGAAAAATTAATACTAATTTAATAACTACTAAATAGATAAATATATTCCAATGGATGTGCCGCACGCTGAGTTCCTTCTCCAACACGGGCTTGAACATTCGGTCTTTCCTTGCTTTTGCGGCTATGCTTTCTTTCTCTCTAGCGGAAACAACTTCTTTGCATCATTGTTCAAATAATTCATCTTCACGTGGCCTTCCCTTTAATTGACATGTAATTATACCCATGAATTTAAGCCATCTTTTCCTCATGCACACACACGTCACCTTCCATGAATTCCACCAACTAAGGAATTAACCCATGCCACTTTAAGTAATTAATCATCCAATAAGCCATGCAACCCAATAATGAGCCCGCCAATAATTGTACTACGAGCAGTAGCTATCCCATCGTGACCCGTCTTGGTCCATTAAAAATGCTCCCAGTTAATCCTTAAATCGTTGAACTCGAATTTTTATTTTTGGACCACGGGAATTGAATATCGTGCTAGTCGATATCGCATCAGAAGCAGTCTATTATTGTCACAACCACTATGGAAGTTGAATTCATAGCTTGTTATGAAGCTACGAATCATGGTTTATGGTTGCGGAATTTTATTTATGGATTTGGAATTGTCGACACTATCGCCAAGCCGCTGAAAATTTACTGTGATAATTCCGCAGCAATATTCTTTTCTAAGAATGACAAGTATTCGAAGGGTGCTAAACATATGGAGGTGAAATACTTTGTCGTTAAGGAAGAAGTTCAGAAACAAAGGGTGTCGATCGAGCATATTAGCACACAGCTTATGATTGTTGATCCATTAACAAAAGGATTGCCTCCTAAGTCATTTACTGAACATGTCGAAAGGATGGGGATTATAGGACGTCATGACTAAAGTGATTTTATGTTTCATGGATTGACACTTTGAGCTCATTTATTTTATTTCTGGAATAAAGTTATGAATCTTGTTTTATTTATTATGATCAGTATATATACATTATGCATTATATGAACAGAACAAGATTTTTGTCTTTAGGGAAGACATTATTGTTGGACCATTATGAATACCTTGTTATGTGTCATATTGAGCATGAAACTGGTTTTGTGGTACATGGAAGGGACTATGTCGATAAATTTATATAGAACCGCCATGATCCTAATCTAGCTTTCATACTTGATTATGACTTTATGGTGAACCAAATATTATGGATTTATCTTATGATGTGCACACTTATGTTTATTATTAGATCTTGTGATATATAATGACACATAAGCCAAGTGGGAGAATGTAAGCCCAATTCCCGTATAGATCACTAGGGAATAATTGTGACCCAAGTGTAATTATCACTTAATGGTTTAATATATAAGGTAAGTCCTATATTGGTTAGGTTAATGAAAGGTAAATTCCTAATATACCCTGATGGTGAGTCTATTTAAAGAAACCCTAGAATTGGTCATCTCTCAACCCATTACCAAGGTTCTAAAAGGCGCTAGGCGTAAGGCAGGCGCTCGGCTCCTGACTTGCGCCTTGCCCGATTAGGCGTAGCCTAGGCGTTCAGGGCATAAATGAAAAAATCCTCAAATATTTCCTATTTTCTGGAATAATTCATATAATCCAAGTGCATATAAAATTAGCAATGCCTAGTTCTTAACAGTAAACAAATAACATAACAAATAACAAGCAAATAGTGACCAATCATCTGCTAATAGGTGCTTATAGAGGCAAGAAGCTTGTGCTACATACCGAGGAGAAGGAAGGAGCAGCAATTGACGAGTTTCGACTTTATTTCCCACTATAGCAGTGGAGCGGTGTGAAGGCGAGAAGAGTGATCGATGACTTTCTCCCGCGGCGGCAGAGAGCAGCAAATGGGGCGAGAGCTAGGGCGGCAGGCGGCAGCAGATGTTACTTCCCGTGTTTCTGATTTTCTAGGGCAAGAGGCAAGTTTCTGATTTTCTAGGACAAAACGAAGAGTATTGGGTTTAACCTCCTAAGCTCGCCCACGAACGCCCAGGCACGCCTTCTCTCCACTAGGCACAAACTAATTACTATTCCTACCTACTAAGCGCTACCAGCGCCTTTTACAACGCCTATGGCCAAGTCAAGGCGATCCTCCACCGCCTAGCGCCTAATTGAGCCTAGGCGCGCCTTCTTGAACCCTGCCCATTACGTAGAATTTCTTAGCCATCACAGAAATCTCTAAACCTAAAACCTAAAGGGGTCAAGAGGGAGATACTCAATTCCGGTGATTACTATTCAAGCCGCCGCCGCTCTCGTCATGGATCGAGATAGGTTTCCTTGATCTATTACCGATTCGTGAAATCATCTAATTCTAAGATCCATGCTATTATGAGCTATGTTTACAACTAACCGACTAAATCGGATTGACGTCATACCACCTCAATTGAAGTAAGAAAATGTTGAGTTGAATGGAAAGTGACCTTTACTTGTGTGAGATGAACAAAACAGGGAACGATAATTTAGGAGTGGAGTAGGGCAGTAGTGTAGTATCCACGCGCGGCACGACAATTGATGGCGGAGACACTCTTGACGTGGCAAAAACTTCTTCACCTTCTACTCTCTCTCTCTCTCGCCTATCCGTCGTCGGTTGTTCCATTTAATTTCCGAACCATTTCCACTACTTCTTCGGCGGGTGACCATTCTTTTCGCCTCTCCGGCAATGGCCAAGCTCCTCCTGCTTTACTCGTCCCCTCATTTCACCCTCGCCGGTCGCCGAACCTTCACTTCTCTTCTCCTCTCCAAACCTCACGACTCCCTCTCTCTTCCGCAGTCAGCCATCCGTCGCCACCGATTGACTGTCCCGTCCAGTCCTCACTCCCCATTGGATTCTGGATTTCGCCGCGGGAACTTCTCTGTTAACGCATTTGATTCCTCAGACGAGACCAAAACAGGAGAAAAGGGGAAGGATGATGATAAAGAGAAGACTGAAGAAGCTGAGGAGTCTAAAACTGCAACGGCTAAGAAAACCAATGTCGATTACCCTCGGGGGGATTTCGAGTTTCGGGAGATTGGGGCTTGGACTCGATTTCTCGTTAAGCTACGGATGCTAATTGCTTATCCTTGGGAGCGAGTCCGCAAGGGCAGTGTCCTGACTATGAAATTGCGTGGCCAGGTTTTGAACGCTGCAATTTGCTTCATGTTTCTTGGGTGTTCCGACGTTGAAATTGCTTGTTTCTTTTCTATGTTCAGGTATCTGATCAGCTAAAGAGCCGTTTCTCGTCAGGGCTATCTCTGCCTCAGATTTGTGAGAATTTTGTAAAAGCTTCTTATGATCCTCGCATTTCTGGTATTTATCTACATATAGACTCCCTAGCTTGCGGGTGGGGTAAAGTTGAAGAAATACGGAGGCATATATTGGATTTCAAGAAATCAGGTAGAATCACAAACACCTTTCACTTCTGTTTCTATATTCCACTTTTTTCGTCTAGGCTTTGTCCTGCTGAATTCCCAGCTCTGTTTATGGAGGAATTTCCGTCTAGTGCTTGCTTCCTTATTTCACTGGTTCCAGTTTATGTTTATGTTTCTTTGTGTTAGCATAGTGGAAAGACATTGCGGCTGTCAATAGTTCTAGGGTTTAGTGATTAAGTTTCAGATATGGCTCAGGTAAATTCTTTTTCAATATATGATGGGTAGGGAGTATCAACTTTAATTTTGTGGAGGACTTTTGTTTCCGTTGCAACTTGGAAGTATTATGCTTCGAAACCGAAAATTCTTTGATATTGGCGGTTGTGGATCATTTCTTTTAGCTTTTGTGTTTTTTGGACATTTGTAGGTAAGGTCATAGTTGCCTACACCCCTACTTGCAGGGAGAAGGAGTATTATCTTGCTTGTGCTTGTTCGGAGATATATGCCCCTCCAAGTGCATATTTCTCGTTATATGGCTTGACTATTCAAGCATCCTTTCTCGGAGGTTAGTAAAGTTAATGTGTCAGCATTCTAGTTATCATCTGTGCTCTGGACCCTTTTGAACCAAGATGACATTTCTTCTCCCCATCTATCTCTCTCCTTTAACTCGTTGTTTTCCTTCTTGTTTTGGATGATTTATAGCCTTTTAAGCTACTATGCGTAATGCTTTTCTGGAATCGATAGCTAAACAGTTTCTCTTGTTTTCCCTTGTGTTTACTTGGGTTGAAAGGGCTAACTAAAAATTTGTCAGTGCAATTTTCTGCTTTGTAGGTCTTTTTGAGAAGGTGGGAATTCAGCCCGAAGTTCAGAGGATTGGTAAATACAAGAGTGCTGGTGATCAACTAACTCGGAAAACTATGTCGGAGGAAAATTGTGAGATGCTGACTGCATTGCTCGATGACATATATGGGAATTGGTTGGAGAAAGTTTCTTCTGAAACAGGTGCCTTTAAATTTCGAACTTTGTTGATTTGTGCAGTGTCAAATATAAACTCTAGGCTTTCATCTACCTCTGACAGGAAAGAAAAGAGAAGATTTGGAGAACTTCATTAATGAAGGAGTATACAAAGTTGAGAGGCTGAAAGATGAAGGCTTAATAACGGGCATACTCTATGACGATGAGGTACTGTCTGAGATAATTATTGTCTGTGTAATCATCCTCCATATTTGGTTGCTGATTGTACACACCAATGTGTTTGCTTCCACTTTTACTCTCAAATTTGTTTTCTCAAATTTAAGTTTTAGTCTAAACAAACACGCTGTAGGGTCGTTGGGATGGATCAATTCGAAAATGAGACAATTTGGCCAATTGTCTCATTTTGCGAAACGAGTCAATTAAAATGAGTAAATTCTAATTACCTGCCCCTGTACATGGGCGCTGGGTCGTGTTTAGGCCGACGGGCACGTTTCAGACCCATTTTATTTCGTGTCGTGCTTGGCACGGCCTGTGAGTTTTTGTGTCGTGTCGTACCAGCCAATTTGTTAATTTTGCTAGCAAACGAGTCAATTTGGTCCAATAGTCTCCTAATGAGACGATTGTGTTAAATTGATCTGTTGCAATTCATCATCCAAACAACCCCTTACCCATTCTCCTCAACTTTTTAGTAAAAATCACTATTCATTCTAAAACCTACAAATTAATTTAATAAAAAATCCATCTCTCGGAAAGAATTTCACTTTACAACCTTTCCTTTTAACAAAATATATATCTTTTAAGTTATACCCGTAATAGTCATTTATCACTTTCATTAACTACTTTATTAGTAAACACACTGTTCACCATCCTGTCAACTATTTTTCTATGAATAAAAATATACGAAGTTTCCATCAATTTAATTTTTTCTTTTTTGATAAGGGTGATATAGGTTTCATTTTTTGTGATTAAGGTACTACTTAAAAGAATATAACCTGGGACCTCTAGATTCTAGGCTAGTGGTATAACCACTAGGCCAAACCCTTGTTCGTCAATTTAACTTTTTCTTAACTCTTACTAAACATACTTTTCTCCAAACTTCAGAAAAAGTTTTTCCCAACTTTCAGTAGAAGTCCCCCAAATTTCAGAAAAAGATTACATCTTCCTTTTAGATGTAACTAATAAGTACATGCTGAGTTCCTTCTCTGGTGATGAATTCTATAAAGAAAAACAGAAGGCCACTGTATCCTCAGTTCATGTGCAGGTTGATTTGTAGCTGGTTTATGCTTGAATCAGATGTATCAGCTGCTGGACAGTGGACATTCTGAATATTTACACGCAATTGTTATCCCAAAAGTTGAAAAACGAGGAGAGGATTGCAAATCTGAACCATTGCCTAATTATTTACTGAATAATACGGGAACTGTTTCCGGTCACACCACTTTTGATCTGAACTTCTCTATCTTGTATTTGGGGATTGATGCTAAACCATACAGGTCATATCACTGTTGAAAGAGAAACTTGGAGTTCAGAAGGAGAAAGTTCTTCCTATGGTTGATTACAGGTTGTCTACCATTATGAATAATCTCTAAAGTACATTGATTACTGATCTGTTAAATCTTATGGTTCAGTCAAGTTAGACTTCTTGAATCCTGTTCCTGGTCTGTTACTGAGTGTTTAGTGTGTTTTCAGCCTCTTCTCTGCTTGGAGAATTAAATAATCAGTACTGATTGTTGAATATTCCATATTTAAGTATGTCTTTCCATTTCCTTGCTGTTTTCTGCAGACAATCTTGTCATTGGGAGTTCTTTTCCTTTAATAATCAATTACAATGTGCAAACCCTTCAATGGAGCTGCCTACAAGCCAAATCTTGCATGCACCTTTTCTGTCTGGTTGAGACGATTTTTCTGGTCTTTAGCACACTGTTATATGTGTTATTGGAACTATGAGTTTTTTAGGTTCTGCACAGAAAAGCATGATGTATTATTTATATGCTTCTATTGACACTGATCTAATAGCATATTGCTCTCAAGGGGAAAAATCACCTTTCTATCTGATCTTTAGAGCTATGTGTCTCAGAAAATTTATAAACCCTTTTGGGTTTCAGGAGGTATTCTCGAGTTAGGAACTGGACCCTTGGTTTAGTTGGTGGAAAAGACCTAATAGCTGTGCTCCGAGCATCTGGGAGCATCAGTCGTGTTCGGGGTCCATTAAGTGTACCTGGTTCTGGAATCATTGGGGAGCAATTTATTGAGAAGCTTCGTTCGGTGAGAGGTAATATCTAAGTGTGTTAAATTGAGATGCTGTAATTATTGACTGAAAGGAACTTGTGTATCTGATGTTGGCTAGAAGTCCTAGATTGCATCTAGAAAGGTATTTGATAATATATGCCATTTCTAAGTAATTTTACTCCAAAGAATGATCTAATCCTGAAATTTTCTAGATTAGCTTATTTAGTGGCCAAACTAGTTCGAACAGGAAACTTTTGAACTGCAGAAAGAAACTAAGGAAATGATATTACAAGAAAATAATGAAATCAGTACCATTAGGTTTTCTGCCTAGCTCACTCTAGTGAGCTCTATAAAAGTGATTTTCGGAAAGCAATGACTTCATCTCCGACATTGGACTCATCCTGCCCCTTGTGCTTTATTGCTTCTAATTGTAATCTTCCTTGCCAAATAAACAAGGAACTAATAAGTTTCATGCAGAACTTGCTACTCATTGTCTGGGTCATTAGTTCTGTTTTTCACCTGCCTATCTCACTGAGACTTTTGTGCAACAATGTTGTTTATTACTAGTTCTTCGAATAAACAACTTCGTTACAGGACCAGTCTGAATTCCATGTCTTTTAAATTTCTTATATGATTGGTGGTCTTTGTCATTCTGTGTTAGTGTTGTTGTCTTACTACTAGTAGTCTCTACTTTTGAATGTCTTCAGAATCTAAAAGATATAAAGCTGCTATCATCAGAATTGACAGTCCTGGAGGTGATGCTCTTGCTTCGGATTTGTAAGTATGGACCGTATTTATGCATGTATGGGTGCTTTGGTGTTGGTGAATTGTGGCAGAACTTTTGCTTTATGTACTACCAACACTCTTTTCTGATGGTCATTTTTTCGACAGAATGTGGAGGGAAATCCGACTTTTGGCTGCTTCAAAACCTGTAATTGCTTCAATGGCTGACGTTGCAGCCAGTGGAGGATACTATATGGCTATGGCAACAGATGTCATTGTTGCTGAAAATTTGACATTGACTGGTTCAATTGGAGTGGTTACAGGTAAACTTGATGTCTATGCTTCTGTAGAAGAAAATTGTAAATTTATTAATGATAAACTTGCATTGCCGGAATTTTTGTGTTACCTACCCCCAGGTTTATTAGCAAGAAACATGATGTCTTGCGGTACTACACAAAGCGTCAGAGTATAAGGAAACAAAATTGCTAAAAACATCCATGTCTTTGTTCTAACTTTTGACTTTTGAAATATTGTTCTGAAAGCTAGCCTTCATTCATCACTGCAGCTAATATTTTGAGACTGTTTGGTAGTAATTTGGTACGCGAGAAAGCCTCCTTTCGCCTTTTTCTCTTGTCTCATATCCAAACAAAACTCCTGCTTGTAGGAAAGTTCAACTTGGGGAAACTTTATGAAAAAATCGGGTTTAACAAGGAGATAATATCCAGGGGCCGATATGCAGAACTTCTTGCAGCTGAACAGCGGCCTTTCAGGTGAGTGGCCATGGTTCTTATGTTTATTTCCGTAAAATTTGAACTCAAAAGGGCGGTTTCCAGTCTCTGTACGTAGTTGTTTATGGAAATGTTTACTAATGTCCGGTCCTGTATATTGAGTTACTTTCTTATGTTGAGAACTCAAAGTGGACCTTCTTTCCTTCACCATTTCTGTTCCGACGCTAAAATGTGATGAAATCTAACATTTTTATCTTCCAGGGCAGATGAAGCAGAACTATTTGAAAGATCCGCTCAAAATGCATATCAGCAATTTCGTGACAAGGCAGCATTTTCAAGATCGATGGATGTGCGTTTGCCCAATAATACTATTTTTCTGCGGGTTTTGTTATGAATAAGTGGGAAAAATAATAACAGAGCAATAAGCCAGCTGCGAATAACTGATCGCTAATATTTTTTTTCTTGCACAAGGTGGATGAGATGGAAAGCGTAGCACAAGGTAGAGTCTGGACTGGTATACAAGCAGCATCACACGGTCTAGTGGATGCAACTGGTGGTCTTTCACGAGCTATCGCTATTGCCAAACTGAAAGCCAATATACCTCAAGATAAACCAGTAAGGCTGTTGGTTAAGTGCTTTTTATTCTCATTTTACGTGCCAGCAGATTTCTGTTAATTATGGCTTCAGTTCAGAGGTTGACATATCATTATTATTATGGTTTCTGCGACTGACTAGGTAACCCTTGTTGAGATGTCGAGGCCATCTCCCACGCTACCAGAACTTTTGAGCGGGATCGGCAGTTCTATAGCTGGGGTCGACACAACTCTAAAAGACCTTCTGCAGGAGCTGACGGTTTCCGAAGGAGTTCAAGCCCGGATGGATGGAATAATGTTCCAGAGACTGGAAGGTGGAGCTCCATACGCCAACCCCTTTATTAATCTGATCAAAGATTACCTAAGTTCCATATGACACCCCAAATGTGAAATATATTGTATCCTTGGATTGCTATGGTTAGTTAGTTCGATTTTATTCAATTATAGTTTTTACCCGTAGAAAAAGTAGCTCTTGGAAATAACTTAAACTGCTATGAGATTGTCTTGCTAGGTGCGGATGGGGATAGAGTTCGGGAAAAAAGATGGAAGAGATATTAAATATTTGGGTAAATACAATAGCCAAATCTTTGAAACGAACTAATAGTTAGACTTGTCAAAAACAAAATAATAGACAAATCATTAAATTTTCAGACCGTTGGTTGATTGTAATGTAAAACAAGTTTATGAATTAATTTAATTGCATGTCCCTTTCATTTCTAAACTTTTATCTACAACACATGGTAAAACATAAAAATAGTGAAGAAATGAGTAAGGAAGAAGAAGCTGGAAAATAGCAAAGCACATTGAGAGGGACTTCCTATAAAAGGGTCGTGAATGCTTTATCCTCACTTCACGACCCAAAATTCGCCAGAAAACCACAATTTTCCAACGAATTTCACCATTTTTGTCAACTTCCGACAATCCAAATCAAAAACCAATCACAGACCCAATCTCCCCTCATCAAGGGCGGCCTCCGTAGAGATTTTGGGGAGATTTGGCACTGATTTTTTCCGGTGAGGCGATTTTCAGCGAGCTTCTGATGAAGCTACGGTGACCCCTCTCCGACCTGTTTTCGTGCATTTTTTCGACTCCCTCGCCCTATCCTCACTTCCCCTACGATCCTACTTGAGTCTCCAGGTTTGTTTTCGACCTTACCTTTGTTAATTGTGAATAATCGGATTAGGGAGTGAAGTGAAGTGAATTTAGTGAATTGATTGTTGAACATAGAAATAGTGCCAGAGATTAGTTGATTAGTGGTGTATGAATGTTGAATGTGATTTGTATGAGCTTAATTGAGCCTTGGTGGGAATAATTTAGGACAATTGCTTTCAAATGTGAAATTTGCTCACCAAGTGCAAAAATTATGAATGATTGTGAAATTTTTATGTGCGAGTGGTGGATGGTAGCCGCCGTGGCATGATTTGGGGTAGATTCTTGTGTGGATAAACCGTGAAACACCTAGAACCATGCCTCGATGTGCTTGAGCTTTATTTTTTCACATGGCATGGAACCATAGTGGGAACATAAGTGTAGGGGGGAGGGGAGGGGGGATTCTTTTCCCTCCCAATGAGTTGAGATTGATAATTGTTTCCACGTATGGTGCATGTTTGACTGTTTTGTAGGATGCTTAATATGGATTATGAGTACATCCGATACTTGGTGAACCACGAACGGTTCGAGGCCAAGTTCACTTACCAGATGAACAGTGAGGTGGGGCCTCACTGGATGCTTAACCTGGACATGTTCAACATGTTCAGGTATAGAGCGGCGTTGTCGGGGGTTGTTTCGGACCCCCAGTTGCTGACAGTGGATGAGCTCATCTGCCGAGAGCTCTGCGTAGAGTTCTACTCCACCTTCTCCCACGTGGTCCCAATGAGTAAGCGGAGTTGGCCCCACGTGGAGTTCATGCAGGGAGGTCAGCCGTGGGTGCTGACATACGACGCCTTCGCTCAGGCCATGGGGTTGGACCCCACGCACATGACGATGACGAAACGACAGTACACCGTCGACTTCCATTATATGGCAGCATTCCAGGCTCTTAGCTGCCCCGAGCACCAGCATGATGAGTTCGAGGGTGGCCACACCAATGCGGTGAAGCTGCAAATTCATGGAGGATTCTTCACACCTTGCTCACCAGGTCTGTCATCCCCAGTCTGCGAGTGGGCCACCTGATCACTAACAGAGGGCTAATTGCCCTCCACTCTATGAGGAGCCCCGCCAAGCCACTCCATCTGGGAGCGGTGGTTGCTACCACTTTCGCCCGGTGTCTGGGGCGGAATAGGGTGGACACCATGCATTTGGGGGGGGGGGGGCATCATCATCAGATTGGCCCAGTACTTCAAGGTGGACCTGACGGGGTGCTCCATCATTTGCCGGACTGAGCCATTCCTAGTAGAGACCCTTTACAACATGAAGCTGGTGCTTCATGGAGAGCGAGGGATCGAGTACCTCGACGGGCTTCGACCTTCAATGGCCCTAAGGCCGAGAGTCGACCCTACTATAGTGGAGCTCGATCTAGAGGTCCCTCCTCTAGAGCAGCCACCTGCTTGAGCTCCTGGCTGCCGCTGGCGTCCTGCACCCCCTCCACCAGCAGCACCATCATCATCAGAAGCCGGTCCTTCCACCTCCGGGGTGCACCTCGTGGAGAGGATGGATCGTCATGAGATCCACATAGTGGTATTCACTTCCCGGATTGACCAACATACCGACCTGCTGGAGCGGATAGCTCGTCGCCATGACCTCCTTCTAGATGATGAGCCGGGATCTTCGACCCGTGATGAGGTAGCCGACGAGTGAGACATGTGGCAGAGCCAATTCCTTTCGCCCCACTTCTCCACTTGGAACTCTAAACTCTTTTATCTTTTATTTTGTTTTTCTTTCTTTTATTCGGTGTGTGTGTGTGTGAACAACTACTACTACTATCGTATTGATATGTGTAATAACCTCACCTTGAGCGAGTATGTGTTTGTGTATGTTTTTGTCTTCTCATTGAAGCTCCAATCTCCTACCCTGGAAAAAATTCCAACTTTCACTCACCATGCCATGCGGTAATATCGTTCTACCCCTATCTTACGCCATTGAGGGCAATGTCGAGCTTAAGTGTGGTGGTGGTGGGGGGGGGGGGGGTAGTTTATTATTATGCTTGTGTGAGTGTGATTGGATGCTTGGAGCCTTGACGTATGCCCAAATTTGAAATTTTTGAGGGCTCCAAGCAATGCTTGCATGATCAAAGTGACCGGTTTGTGGGATAATCTCGAGTTTATCGACATTGGCATTGACCTTGAATTGTTGCATGTGATCGAGTGTGTCCTATAATGATGACTTAGAGGTGCATTAGGATAGTGCAAAGGTTTAGTTCTCATGTGTGCAAAAATGAATGGATGTCTTGACTCGATTACTTGTTAATTACAATTAGAATGCATTGTGTTTTGTGAAGTGGAATAGATGGTTCGGTGACTAGGTAGCCATGTGAGTTTTGAGCCGATCATTTTCTTATTGTGTGCTTAGATCCCTCTCACCATGGCGAGTAACATCAGAGTTGCCACTAGTGAGTATGATGGAGGCATAGGATTAGTCCACGCCCAAATGTTGATTATCCCGAAATATTTTATCCCCTAGTCAACCCCTTTGAGCCTTGTGACTTTGGGGGGCCGTTCTCTTGTAAGAGCTTTTCACTTGTGAGCTTAATAGTGTTTGATAGAACGACCCCCCTCATCCTTTCTTTGTGTCTATATGTGAGTCATCCTTGTATCCCGGAGTTCACACTTTGGAGCTCAATTGAGGTTCTACATAGGAGGATTTTGCGTGGTTCTTGCTAAAAAAGAAGAGGTAGTGTTGGAGTGAGTTCTTAATCGAGAGCATTGTTCGTTAAATGGCATGTGTTTCCAATCATTTCCATCCATGTGATTCCTTGGTTGCCCCCATCTGTACTTCCTCCAAACATCTAACAAAACCGAATACCATACACGAAAATAAATACAAAAATATCGCCAATACAAGTGAACCAATACGAGTACCTATTAACCAATACCAATCCAGATGTGACCAATACCAGTAGATATTAACCAATAACAGTACTAATACTACTTAACAAAAAAGCAAAACCACTACATAAACATCAATAACAGTATGAGAAAATTAATACCAAAATATCACCAATAAGAATTTGATCAATACCAATACATATTAACCAATATCAGTACATATTCAACAAATACCAATTTGTCAACCCCATATTTTGTTTACAAAAAGGATCGCCTGTATTCTCACACCATGGATTGACTAATTCTATATTTGATGAGACCCTACCCAAAAAACCAATCAATCAAGTTGCCTCTCTCCATTTGAAATCAATGAAGATTAATAAGCATGGAGGGAACATGATGAGCTAGGTTTGACAAAGTGACATAAAGGATGTGGTTTTATCACTACACACATAAGGCCTCAAGGAAGGGTTTCCATAGTATAAACTGAGCATGCTAGAAGGCATCGACTAATAATAATGAAAGAGGAAAAAAGTATGAGATGTAATTGTTAAGGCCCATGAGGCTTTGTACGTATATATATTTGTAGGCCCATGCACATACATGCATTAGGGCCGACGTATGAGGTTAGGGTTAGGGTTAGATTTGGCTACTCCCTCATTTTCCTTTATATGTCAAATATATATATATATATATACATATACATGTACGATGGTGCTACACTCAAGTGAATACAATCAGTAGCTAGAGAGACTTGTGGCTCTCCTCACCTGTGGACTAGTCCTTATCACTCAGGGATACCACGTAAATCCATTGTTCAATTCTTTGATATCTTTTGATATGTCTAACATAGTATCAGAGCCTTCTGTGACCGTGAGGTTTTCTGTTCGATTCCCGGTGACCCCCATAAGCTTTTATTAAGCACACGGTGTCCGGACCTATGCTTGTCCAAACTCCAAGCCTATCTGAATGGCTTGAGTTAGAAGGGGGTGTTAGTAAACGGTATATGATCCACTATTGAACATCTCTCAACAACTCGAGTTATTTGGACCAACTGGTTCATGACATGGTATCGCTCCTTGATTCTGCGTGTTTCAATCACATGACTAGTGATTCTCAGTCCTTGCATAATGTTACTCCAGTTAAGAATCTTCAGCTTCAAGTAGCGAATGGCTCTCATTTTCCTGTTGCTAGTGTTGGTTCTCTAGCTCATAATCGTGTTCGGCTTACTAATGTTCTGTATGTTCCAAAATTATGTCAGAACCTGGCATCTATTGGCCAGCTTACTAATGACGGGGAGGCTGATCGGAAGGGAGAATAAGCACGGGCACGCATTTACATTGGAAGAGTTGTTGAGTCGATCGTCTTCTTTTGCAGTTGAGTCGGGTTCTAG